ATAATTTTTAGTAACAATTGATTTATGTCTTCTATATTTATTATTAGTCAGCGATGTCTTTTCCCTCAGTTGCGCTATAGTATAGAGTGTAGCGAAGTGATAACTGGCTATCAATTTCGTTGATTATTCTCTGTGTTAGATCCTCGTGATGGTACAGTAGCTCCCAGAAGAAAGAAAAGCCGAGGTCTCCAAGATTTGATTTGAATGAAGGTGATCGTTCAGAGTATTTGTATAAATCGAGAAAATGTTTTTCAAAGTAATTCAATAGTGTAGAGGTATTTGGTGTTTCTCTGACGTTTGGTAGCAGGTTTTTTGAAATATATCTTGATATATTTTCTCCTATAGAGTTTATGTAGTCCAAGACAGGAAGTTGTTCAATGTAATTTATCCAATGATTTACACTTTTAGCGGTACACTTTAGTGTAAATCATTGGATAAATTACATTGAACAACTTCCTGTCTTGGACTACATAAACTCTATAGGAGAAAATATATCAAGATATATTTTAAAAAACCTACTACTAAACGTCAGAGAAACACCAAATACCTCTACACTATTGAATTACTTTGAAAAACATTTTCTCGATTTATACAAATACTCTGAACGATCACCTTCATTCAAATCAAATCTTGGAGACCTCGGCTTTTCTTTCTTCTGGGAGCTACTGTACCATCACGAGGATCTAACACAGAGAATAATCAATGAAATTGATAGTCAGTTATCACTTCGCTACACCCTATACTATAGCGCAACTGAGGGAAAAGACATCGCTGACTAATAATAAATATAGAAGACATAAATCAATTGTTACTAAAAATTATATCCCTTTTAACAGTATTACTTATATTTTTACTATTTTTATTATTTTTTGTACTACGAGAAATAAATCGTATTATTAAACACATTTTTAATAGTTGTATTACTAATAGTACTACAGAAAATGATTTTATAAGTATGACTGAGAGAATGAAGAAATATGGTAAATAAAAAAAAAAAAAAACGAAATATTTTACTTGTTTTCATTTTAAAAATAACTCACATCTTCAAAAATAAATAGAAAATCCTACATCTTTTTCCCATTAACCCATGCCACGACTAATTTATGACCTACATCTCTATTACCCCATATTGTAAATCCCTATCCACATACAACTTACCCCCCTCCCCCACCAGATCGTACAGGAAAAACTTCAGGCCCAAAAATCTACCGAGGGATCCCCTTCACAGGGGGAGACCCCTCACGGCGGGGAGCGGAAAAGGTCTGGCGCCAGTGGCCGCGGAGTGGGGGTTTGTTGTGTCTAGCTCTCGTTGCCCCATACTACTATCGCTTCCGTTTTTTTTCACTTGTTAAAAGTCCCACGTGTTAATTATGTCATTTATTCCGTAATTCTTTTGAATTAGGTTAATTAGGCTGTTATACGATAAGAAGATTAAAGCAATACTCAAACTGTAAAAAATTAGGAGTGAAATGGACTACTGCGTACGGAATTTTTTTTCAGCGCATCCGAGTATGGATTTTTGAAGTAAAACTAATATTATTTAGCTGAATAAGATTTCTTATTAATTGTAATTCTTACAAAAATTTACTTAAAAAATTGAATCTAATTTTTATAAAAATTATTTTGGTTTTTCGTTTTATTGATGAATCCTAACAAAAAATAAAAAATGATAAATTATTAATATTACTACATTTAATTAAATAAAATCAATTACTTTAATGTTACTAAAACTAACTTTCTTATGGAAATTTTTTAATAAATAAATTATTATAGAGAAAATTTATCAAAAAATGCTACTTATAGAATTTATAGAAACATTTTTATGTAATTATTTAAAATATTAAAATTTAGTTTTAATATCAAACTGAGAAAAAAAGTTACATTAATTTTTTCAATGTATTATTACAAATTTTGTAATTTTTAAATTAAAAATAGCACCTATTTTTTCATTTTTAATCAATAAAATTAAGAAAGAATTAATTCTGGAGAATTTTTTCTTTTATTAATAATATAAAAATCTTCTTCGAAGTTTTTAAGTCTTTTTAATTTCGTTAAAAAAATTTTATTTTGTAATTTAATTATTTAAGATTAATGAAATCAGCTGAATAACGCCATCTTTGAGAGAAATGAGACACTATCAATACAGAATAGGATATAAATAATTTTATCAATAAAACAAATATTTATCCGTAATCTCTTCCCGTGACCAAGTAAATAAATCCGAAATGAACAAATGTGTAGAATAATAATAACAATAAAAATCAGATAATGAGGCTCCGCAAAACGCAAAATGGTGTGACAGTATTAGTATGGATAATTACAGACGATAAATATTAGAGAGTTAAACTATTCGTAAAATCTCTCTTGGAGCCACAACCTGGAGAGTTTACTGTTTCGTGTTCAGTGTCGGGTAATAGAGTGTTTGAGCCGACTGTACTGTTACTATTTGCCAAGTTAAATGCAACTGCTGGTGCTCCAGTCTCATTTCTCCAGCTCTTACCATCATCAACTCTTGCAGCGCTATTTCAACTGCTATTCTAGTCTCTTGATGTCTGACTTGACCTTACTTGGTTATGCTTTTACTGGTTGTGCTTCACCAACAGTTTCTAACCAAACTCAACTCTTACTACTACGACTGGCCAAGATTTTCTGATGTAGGAATTTGACACTGTGCACCTTGTTAACTTCCTCGTTTTCTTACGAACACTTCTCAGATATTCACAAACAAACAACTAACCACTGAATTACGTCTTGTTTCTTTGACATTTCAAGACTTCTGTTCTCCACTACTGCGTGCTCATATATGCTCACTTCTGAGTTCTTGACTTCACTTAACTTCAATATTTAGATAGTAAGTTTACAATATTTAATTAACCTGGTAATAATTATTATGATTTCAAATATTCAAGAGTGGTTGAGAAGTTTATAAACAAAAAACTTGAGAGTTTTTAAAAAGAAGCTGAGTTTGGAGACCCGGTAGTGTTACGCGCCAAGTAGTTTAATTAAGTAGATGGTGTAAAAATTTTATACATCGAAAAAAAATAGTATATTACACTACGAGGGCAGAAAGTTGAGATTCCTGCACTGCGCGCCATGTGCCCGAGGCGAAGCCGAGGGCATCATGGCACGCAGTTCAGGGCTCTCAAATTTCTGCCCATGTAGTGTATACTATTTTTCTTGCTATGCGGTCGAAAGTATGTTAAAAATTGCGTTGAAAAAAATTGATGCCTGCCCCCGACATTTGCGGCACGAGCGAAGCGAGTGCTGCTGGTCGGGGGGGGCAGGCATCAAATACACCTGTCAATAAAGATATTAATATATAATCTATCATATTACTACTTTCTTTCCAGAAAAGATTTTAATTTAATTCAATCATTTTAAAGTTTTAAATATATTTTAATTCTGATAATTAAAAATAAAAAAAAAAAAAAAACACAAAAATGAATTCATAATCGTGAAATGCATAGAAAAAAAAATTTTTAAAAAAATCTGTTTGTGTATTTTTTAAAATAATTACTTGTTCAATAATGAATTTATTTATTTATTTGAGAAAATCTATCAGAATAAAATATATTTTTTTTTTATTTGTAATTTAAATATTTAACAAGTCTCATTTCATTAAAATAAATATTCATTTTCTGTAATTAACTTAGTTTCAACTTAAAATCATTGACACATAACAAAACAAATACATTCATAACAATCACAAGTAAGATTAGGCTTGTATGCATAAGTAATAGAGTGAGCGCGACTATATCGACTTTCGGACTTTCTGCCGCCTCGTGACTCGTTGTCAGTGCATGAATACATTTTTTCGGCTCCCCGTCGTAGAGCGCATGCGCGACTCGACCACGGCATAAATGTGAGGCTTTCTGCAGTGAAATCGCAGCGGGAACCCGTACTTTCGACCAGCGTAGTAAGAAAAATTAATTTGTAGGAAAAAAACCGATTTTATTGAATTAATTTTCTTGATTCCTAAATTTTTGCTTCAAAATCTGTTTATTCTTGCTTCATAAGTGTAAACTTTTAACTCAATATAATTTTATTCTCAAACCAACAAATTCATATTTTTGAATAAATAAAAAAATTAAACGCCAGATGGCGCGTCAACAAACAACAGCTGTATTACTAATGACACGTCATTTTTTTTTTTTCGTTTAATTGTAAGCCTTCATTCTTTACATTAGAAAACCTTTTTTTTGTTAGATTATTATTATAATGCATAAATAAATACAATTTTTGTTAGAATAAAATCCAATATAATTGTTATCTACAATGTATAATTGTAAATAAAAATTTTTATGAATAAAAAATGTATTTGATTTTATAATCAAGATTTGATATGGGTACTTCAGAAATTTACTGGTTAATAACTAAAAAATATTTAGAGATATTTTTGTAGCAAGTAAAATAATAACATTGAAAAATTTGGTATTTTCAAAAGAACGGCTGCCCAATTTTAAAACACAGTAACTACAAAATGTTTAAATCTGATTTTTTTAATTATTGCTGCCTTTCTTATAACTTTTAGACCTTAATTTCAAGTATTTTTTCTTAAAAATATTTATATACAAGTATTTTCTATTAATAAATCAAATTTTTTATAAATTTGGCGCGTAACCTTTTTTAATAAGAAAAATTTTTAAAAATTTCAAGATTGTCAGTTACTGTGTTTTGAAATTAAGCAGCCGATAAGTCGGAGAAAAAAACTTGCGTCAAATATATATGCACCTTGTTTGAAAAAAATAAAAAAACTCAGCCGAAGAATTAAATTCTTAAATGGAAATTTTTTGAATTCTATCCAAGAATTATATACAATTTATTTATTCAAGTGTAACGATTTCTTTAATCAAGAGATGTAAATATTCTGGAACAAGACTGCAATTTTGTAGTTAAATATTTACTTGAACCATTATTTTTTTTTTCTGTGTACTAATTACAGACGATTGAAGTTCTTTAGTTAATTTCCCGTTATTTATATTGAAAGTTATATTCAAAGTTTAAGTGCTCTGTAGATAAGCTTTTATGATTTTTAAATCATAATAATGATAAATTAAAAATGACGGAAAAAATGAACAAAATAAAATAAGAAACAGTTCAACAAAGCATTATTGTCATAGCAATTATTTTCTGTTCCGTTTGAGTAACTGTGCTTGAATAAAAGTTCATCCATAAGCTCAAGATCTATAGATAGTTTTTAACAATTGACTTTTTAAAATTTAATGATGTAAAATTGTAAGAAAAGTTATGAATAAGAAGTTATTAAAAATTTGAAAGTTAATAACTTACCGATTGTAGTAAGCACAGTTAATGAGTACAAGAATGCTTTGGCGAAATTCCACTCATAGTCGAGTACTTTTCGCTCGATTGGTCCGTCGTTGTTTACCGTCGCTCCAGTGAAGGTTCCCGCGTGATTGGCCAAAAGTTCATCGTTTATTTTCTTAACGAGTTTTTCTTGAAAACGCATTATCTCTTGTTCGGCCAAACGTGTCCAATTCTCGCGATACAGAATATTTAAATGTTCTGTTATTTGCCAAATGTTCTCCACTGTTTGATTGCGTGTATCCCGAAGGACCTGCAGACAATAATTGTTACATTTGTTACTTTATCCTCGTTAAAAGTTATAATTATATTTATTATTTTTAAAAATGAAGTTTAGTATTTATTAAAGTAAAGACATCATAACTAAAAAAATAGAAAAGTGTACTAAGATCCAGGATGCAGTGTAATTGATAAGTGAAAATAATTGCTAGGATTGCGCCGGACCAATTCGTTGTAAAGCTTCTTCTCGTGGAAACTTTGAAATTGGTAGAGAGACGACGACAGGCGGGGAGGGTTATCGCAATTTGCGATAAGAACTAACGTGGCAAACGGCTCGAAAACTAATAAATTACGATTTAGGTTCCTTTTTTTTTTTTGTTATTATTCTTCCTTTGTTTCAAACTATTTGTTTATTTTCCAACGTCTTGGAGATAAATAAAAAAACTTTAATAAATCAAAGAGCTGCGGGTAAAAGTTAATCTAATTAATTAGCAACATTTTTCATTTTAAACTTTTTATCTTTTTTTATTTTATGAGTTTTATTTACACCAAAGGTATGAATAATTAATGATTGTAGTTAATGAAATTTATAACTTTTGAAACTCAAATTTTGTTGAAAAATTGGATTGATTAAAAATAAAAAAAAAATAGATGGTATTTTTTTGAAGATTACAAAAATTCAAATTTAGAAATTTAAAAAATTAATTTAAGCTCTTTATTTTTGGTTTGATATCACAAATAAATTCTAATATTTTTAAAAAATTGCATCAGTATTTTTTAATAATTATTTTTTTTACGAATTATTTCTATAATAATTTATTTGTTAAGGAATTTGATTTTTTAAAATTATTTTTTGGTTTTTATTTTCAATTTTATTAACCAGACTTGAATATAAAATAATTTTTATTAAAATTTGGTCCAATTTTTTGAAAAAATATAATTAATAATTTTATAAATTTAAATTTGAGACAAATTGTTCAAAGTATTTTTTTGTGATTTGAAATATAAAACTTATTTCCACTAAATAAAATTTTACATTTCGCTAAAAAAAAAATTATGAATTTACTTTGAACGCGGTTTTTCTTTTTTTATACTTTTCATTCACTCGAAATTTTTTACGGTCATGTTTGTTAATTAAAAAAAAATTAGCAACTATACACGGAAAGAACAACAACTCACTGGGTGGTATTCGGTTAAATAGGAAACTTCACGGAGTACAGTTAAAAACTCATGCAGTATACTTTAAAAGATATTGACTGTAGTTTGAAATTTTTTTCACTATGAATACCACGGTGTATACTTTATGAGTATGTACAGTGAGTTATTGTTCTTTCCGTGTAGTTCATACTAATTTGGTCCTTACTACAGGGCAGTTAAGTTAATTAGATACCTAAAGTACTAATAAAAAAAATGAGTATATACTGTGGTGCGAAAATATTGAAATAATTAGTGGTCGTAACGATAGCAGGCTTGCAGAATGAGGATGAGGATGAGGATGAGCGGTAGTAATGTTCGAGAGGAAGGCGAAAGAGCGAAATATTCTAATAGTCATCGTGCCTCAATGAGATTTTGTGGCGCTACATCGTAACCCGGTGTTTTAATAGCATCAATTTATTTATCCGCAAAATAATTGCCAGTTAGACCGTAATATCTATCATAAATTAATCGATATACGTTATAGCTACCGACTGCTACATAATTAAATGCTATTAGAAAGTAAAAATATGCATAGGGATTATGCTATCCGCATGCTATTTCAACATTTTTTTTGCGGTCTGGTATCGAGTTATAAAAATAAAAAAAGAATAATATAAGCTATCGTGAAATTCAAAACCTTTTTTGAACTTCATTTTCCTTTTATTGTAATTTTTATGAAGATAATTGAAGTATACTGCTGTTTTAATACGCAGAATAATTTTTTTTCAATTTTTATTTAAAAGTAGACATTTTAAAATACCACTGTACATTCACGGAAAATGTTAAAATATTTTTTGTGTGAAAAAAATCATAGTTGCTATCAAAAAATATTTTGATCATTTAAAAAAAATCAATTTAAGATTTTTTGAAAGTATTTTTTTTTCTGATTTTATTACAAAGTAATAAAAATAAAAAAAGCTGTAGTTTGGTCAAATTTTTGTTGCAAAAAAATTTTACTTTTTTTTACGATCAGATTCTGCAAAAAAAAAAATTCTAGAGGCTCTTTTCATTGAAAAAGAATCTACAATAATCCCAAATTCAATCTTATTTTGCAAGCAAATCAAATTCATCCTTTGTGGTCCTTAAAACATTCAACCCACAAAGTTTCTCTTGTCTACAAAGCTTCAAACTTTTTCTACGAAGATATAACCGATATAAATGGAAACATAGGCAAGCATATAAAAAATTTTTCACATACGACTTTATCAAAAGAAAATACAATTTAGATTTATGGGACATATAAATTTTTAATATTTTTGCGTATGCGTTTTTATATATAATTGCATATATAGTATAGACGAAGTTTACTGATGACAAATAATTATTTTCAAATTAAGATGTGGGATCAGAAAGAAGAAAACTTTAATATGTTAATAAAAAGATCCTAACTATCCAAAACAATTTATTTTTAATTTCCTGTAAAAAAAAGTCGTCCAAAATAGAGGTAAAAATCGACTTAAGTTACCAGACTACGTAATTTTTAAAATATACTGTCATATTACATTTTAAAATTCCAGTAATCATATCAACTGTCTAATTAGCAATTGGTCTAACTCCTTATTTTTTAGAGAGTGATTTTTTAACATTTTGATGTAGCAATAGTCTAATTATAAATAATTTCAATGATCCAAACCAAAATATTATACCTCTATTAGATATTAAATGGTTTTTTAGAGTGATAATAAATTTTGAACTAATTGTTTTTTCGTACAAATGGAAGATTTTCTAAAATAGAGTTAGACAATTTTGTAATTAGAACGTCGATATAAAATAATACTGACTTAAATTTATATCAAATTAGGCTTCCAAAAATTCACACAACAGTAATACAATACTCTTGGTTGTTATTTTTCTGATTCTAAACCCTTTAAATTGTAAAATAATTATTTGCATGCATTTTTTTTGTATATATTTTTTCCGTGAGAAGGAAAAATAAAAAAAAATTAAGCTCTATCATCCACTAACCTTATTTAACCAAACAGTGGAGTTCCACCGCTGAGGCTGATTGCTGCTAGCAATGGTAGCTAGCGTCCTCTGTTGTAGGCCGCCGTCAGTGCCGCCCTCAATGGCCAGGAAAATGAAGCTTCCTAGAACCGTGTAGCCAACGAGAAGCCCACAAATTCCGACATTTATGATGAACCCCTTGAGAAAGGAGTGATGACTGGCCTTATCAGACACTCCGCCAAAGCAAAGACACCTGATTTGATCGGGACGGGGTTTTGAGGGGTCTGTGTTCCGCTTTAAGGAGGACGTATTGCCGTTGTTAGTGGCTTTTAAGCCCTCGTAAGCTCTGTAGTGTCGATCCTTCTCCATTCTTCTCCTTGGGGCTTCCTCCGTCTAGTGTTTGTCGCCCAACATCAACGAACATTCGACCCGTCCATTTGTTCTACTTCCACAGGACACTTCCATATTTACAGTTTCCATTGGCCAAGCCACTCTCTCTTACACACTTCAATTCACATTGTCCTCAATTTAATCTTGTCTCATCTAATCTATTCTATTCTATTAGATTGTCGAATTGTTTTTCTGTTCGATAAAGCGACCTTATAGAGAGGTTATTTTTATCTCGATCTTTCCACGAAAAAGTGAGGCAGAATTTGAGGTCAGGGATAGATTTTGATGTTTGTGTTACAATTAAACAGATATAACCTAACTATAAATGTGATAGTGGAGAGTTTGTGTGTAGTACGACTTGTAAATCGCGATTAAACGTAAATCGTGATACTTTGTCACCGGACGGACACCCTCAACGGACGCCCGGTCGTCCCGATCCACCGTGAATAATTCATTCCGCTTTAACGCGTGCGAATCGTTTATACTGTTGGACGTAGACTGATGACGTTTTGCGGTTTGTAACCAACGATAATGCTCTGTATTAAATATTTATTGTTGTTATTTTTAAAATAAAATAAAGTTAAATTTAATTATCACTATTTTATTTACAATTCTTCGTCCGCATTATCATTATTCTTCATGAAAATTTATTTTAATTACTCGGACGCAGACAACCGTATAGAAGAAGAAAAACAATTGGACAATTCTTTATTGTTCAAAGCACTAAAGGCTTCCAGTTACACCAATGCCGTAATGAATATTTCTTATCCTGGTTAGTCTTGTGTTGAAAAACCGAGGCGAACTTCTGTGCCGGCTGGTGTGGAAGTTAGAGAAGTCGGCAAGAAGGTGCTCGCCGTGGAGTCATTGGGGCCATGGCTGAAGCTAAAGGGGAGGTGGAGGTTCATTCTGTTCACTCGGGAGAAACTTAAGCAAATTCAACGTAGCTCCGTCGACAATTGTGTGTGGTGAGACATTTTTTTTTTGGTCGGTTGTTTGCTGAGCTTTGTTTGTTGGTTTTTTAAGTTTGTTCTGTGCAAGGAGAATTGAGATGAAGCAAAACAATGAAATTCAATTCATTAATTATTTTATTATGTTTTTTCCGTCATGTTAGTCTTTTACTGGTATTATTTTAATTGAGTTATTTGGCTTTTTGCTGGCGAGATTTCTTCAGTTTTGCCCAGAAGTTTTGATGGAATTTTATGGCGTTGAGGGTGATAGCTGAAAACAGATAAAAAAAAATTTTATTAGTTAAAATTTATTTGATATGAATTAAAAAAAAAATTTTATCGGGATTTCTTGATGATTTTGAAGTAATTTTCAAATGAATAAGCTTATGACGTCGCTGACGACTTTGTTGTTTAATGTAATGTTAATTTTTATCATTATAACTATAAAATGGACTATAAGAACGTTATCCAAATAGTTGGCAAGAATCTAATCAAACCAAACTCAGTAATTTGAACGATTATGCGAAAAGTTATCACCAAATATAAAGTATATACCATTATCGGAAGTAATCTTTGGCTGACACAACTTTACTTTTACTACTTGCGATTTCTCCTTACGTAAGTGCTCTTGTGTTCTATGTTTCGTACTATCAAAGTGAGAAAGAAACATACCGTGTAACCGAGAGGCTTTGAATTTAACGGCTCGCTGAATAGTAACTATTTTATTACTTGATATCAAGCCTGCGTTGTCTCTTTTTCATACAGTAGTCAGGCTGTAAAACTTACAGTGGAAAACGACGTGATGCGAAAAGATAATTTTTGCCAACCATCAAATAAATGTAGATAAAGATCGATCCAAAAAATAGAATAATAAAAACAGAGTTGAGTACAAACTAAACTAGACGACACATTAGACAATATTAAATAAAATGGTCTAGTCTAAAGATGTAAGTAGGAAATTACAAGAAATTTGAGACATTTTAAATTTGAGTTCTTCAGCGTTTTATTTAGAGTGTCGCTAAACAAAGACGTACAAGTATTTTAAAAATCTGAAACTAAATCGCTCCGGGGTTTTACCCGAGAATCTACGACGTGTATATAAATATATATGGATCTAGCGGAAGATAAAATCGCATTCAAACGATATTTAAATCGACATCTCAAAGGCATTGAAAACGATATCCATGAAGCATGATACACGTCAGACACGGAAATCCGGGCTCACTTTAGTACTTCCACAAAATATCTCCAGGCTGTTAAGATGTTTTCCACGCCCTTTACATCCTTGTGATCGACTTCAAAATATCGTTTTTGTAAATAGAAAACTTTTTGATGGAATAAGAATTTTTTAACAATGACGGAAATTATTCTCTTGGGTTTCAAAGTCTTAGATAAGACCTTTGTATCTTCGGTCGATAATTGCTATTTTATTAAAAAATATGTTATCAGTCGACTAGGTCGAAGTTTTTCAACTAGGAACGATTTTTTGGAATGACCTTGTATCTTGTAAACTATTGACATTTTTAAAGATATAAGCTCATCCCGACATTACAATCATCGAGACCTTTCATTTGAATACCCACATCAATGTTTCATATATTTATATATATTATATATATGTATATATGAAAAATATATCAAAATGCATGTGGGTACTCAAATGAAAGCTCCCGATGAGTGTAACATCGGGATGAGCTTATATTTTTTAAAAATATCATAAGTTGATGAAATACAATATAATTTCTTAATCATTGACATTTTTAAAGATATGAGCTCATCCCGATGTTACAGTTATCAAGATTTTTTATTTGAGTACCCACATCAATTTTTCATATATTTATATATATTATATATATGTACATATGAAAAATATATCAAAATGCATGTGGGTACTCAAATGAAAGTTCTTGATGAGTGTAACACCGGGATGAGCTTATATCTTTAAAAATGTCAATAGTTAAAAAAATACAGTGCAATTTAACAAAAGTCATTATGTAATAAAGCAAAATTTTATTTATTTATAGTTCACAAGTCACGGCAGTCACATAGTGACTGCAATGTTGCTAGTTTATTTTAAAAACAATAAAATGCTATGTTCAAGTTAAAATTTTTTGATCATTAAAAAATTATAATTTTTAATTCAAGAGTTAATTTTATTAATTACGAGCTAAATATTATAAAACAAGACTATAATTTCAAAAAACATTTTTTTTAAAATTAGTTTTTTTCTATCCGAAAGAGAAAAATTTTAGTTCGTGATTTTTTATCAATATTAGACCATGCAATAAATATTCTTAGATTAAAAATATCTTACAATATTGTCAAATAAATATCGAATATATAGACCTGACGTCTTAATATAAATGTAGAATAAAAATATACACATGTACTCATTGTATGCCAGAATACGGAAGGGTAAAGTTGAAAAGCCTCGAATCGCCGTCGTTTTGTAGGTTAAGAATGGTGCCATAAAACGAGAAAAAAGCGGAAGGATAAAAAGCAATTTTTCCGGTCGACGATTTTGTAGCTCGCGAAACCAAGTTCGGGCTCAGCGACTATTCGCACGCTGGTCTATGTATATGTATATTTTAGACGTACAAAAGAGGAGGAAGAAGCAGCACCATAGTCGTCGCAAAATGTTTATTCAATTTCGTTTACCGTTTCAGGAGATATTTACTCGTCTACCCTCTGGTAGTTCTGAGACCAAGAGTACGGCTGCGGTAACTCGAGGAAGACGACACACGATGACATCTCGTTCTTATTCTTGTTGGGCACAAACTTTGAATGAGAATAGAGTCGGAGGTGTGACATGTAAACATGGACGGCTGCTCTCTGGACTAACTGAATAGTTTGCCGATAAAATTATCGAGGAAAAAAATTTACTGATAAAATAAAGTATTATAAAAAATTGTAATAAGTCGTTTTAATATGCGCCTGCATGTCAATTTTATTAATTTTTATTCTTAAATTAATTTGTTTAAAAGTATAATTAGGCTTTGTTAACATTACAAATATTTTTATTTAACATTAGGAATTTATTTATTTCATTCTAATAAAATAATTATTTGACAAAATTAAAAAAATATTGATTTATTACTATATATTTATTGTTACTATATAAATTTTATATTTTTACTTTATCAATAAAATTCCTTATATATAACCTTTTGAACTATATTTGAGATATAAATTAAGATCTAAAAAATATTTTTAATAAATTGCTCTGGAATTTTTTTATAGTGATTTATTTGCCGAAAAAAAAAATTAAAATAAAATTAAAAAAAAAAAAACCATAAACGGTGGATTAAATTCGATAGAAAAACGAAAAAAAAAAAATACTACGTAATATAAATGGCGATACATTTTTTCCAGCTGTTTGTGGACTTAATCTCTTTCTTGGGTTCTTTTTGTCTCTATTCTAGTGAATCTAACCACCAAAGGTGTAACAACACGGATAAGTTATTTCTTATATTATGTTTCTTTTTTTATACCTAAAGATTACATCTAACGATTTTGTTATCCACTTACTGCGAATATCACTTTCTTATCCTGTCTCGGTGTTTATTTTTCTTATTGCTACACGATCATTAAAAATCGTTTTAAAATTTCTAAATCAAAGTTTAACTTGCTTTTATTTTTATTAATGGATATTCAATTGGACAATTAAATAAAACGAAATAATACTATCCTATCGCATTTGTGCCGTTGATTGAACGTAATTGAAGTGAGATTGATATTTTATTTAAACATTTAAATGGTATTAGCATACGACAATTAAAATTAAATATTCCAACAGGGAATACGCTCTCACACACAAATATTGTAACAATGGAAACTCGAACGCGGAAATAGCACCGTTTATGTAAACCAACATCACAAAACCGTCACAACTAAACTCTCATGTGGATTCTCTATTATTGCGCAAGAGGTCTGGATTAGAAACATTTGCATAATCGCATCACGATCGGTACACTTTCACTGATTGGTAAATATTATTATTAATTAATAATCGTAACAATAGTTATAATCAAT